GCCCTCATATTTTTAAATCAGTAGAAAATCTCTGACAAGGATGTTTAGGGGGCTACACGGACCATCTGCCATCATTTCAGAGCCAACTCTCAGATGTCTGTTACTGTCTGCAAAGAGGGAGGGTGGTTGACTGAAGCACCTGGAATCTCTTCTCAAGGAAGTTCTGGCTGTTCATCCAGACAAAAAAGGCAAGACAGCAGAGACAGAAGAAAGTTTGAGGTGAATGTGACACTTCTCTGTAGTAAGCAGTGCTCTTTGTACTGATGACCAATTCTACCAGCAAATGGCTCTTGCACCTTCCCCTAGGCCTACTGACTCTCTTCAGCAAAGTTAAACGTATTTCTAAATAAACTAAGCTGCTGTGTTACATTAAGCATGTGTTTTTTCGTTATTATCGAAGTGGTTATGGGTTTATTGTGCAGCTATACTTTACCAAATGAGGATTAGTATTCTGGAGGAAAGGATTATCTAAGTTAATGATGCTACTAAAAAAATTAGTATTTCCTCTCAGCAAAAAAATTCTCCAAGGGGACCCCCATAGAGGAAAAAAAAGCAATAGCCAATCTTGTGACTCTCCTGACATTGAAACTTCACTACAGCCCAGAGCAGAAGACCATTCCTAGCCCTGCATAGGGAAGATAAAGGTCTTGACATACCCAAATATCATTCCAGGAAGACTTTTTTTTTTTTTTGAGTTAATATCAGGACCATTCTAATTCTGCCTGACAGAAAAATCCTGACACTGCTGACCATCTTCAGGTTCTGGATAAAAATACGGGTAAGCCAGAGTGGCTTAGCAACAGTAAGGAAATTCAGCACTGCCTGGTTTCCCTGGAGTGGAGTTTTACAGATGTTCCTCATGCTGCAGGGCTCCGAGCAGTCTCAGGGAGTAGAGTCTACGTGACCAGATAGAGGGGATGAGATGCAATTGAGTTCATCTTTGCTCATACTACCCCAAGCATCCTGCTGCAGGAGGCCAGCATGCAGTGAAATCAAAGTCTGTGTTATCAGTGTTTGTCCTGCAGATGTCCTGAAGAAGTTTTTGGGCAACTAATACCTAACAGCAGCAGTTTTACATTGCCTGAACAAAGTGTGTGGAAGATGAGTTTAGCTCTAACATAACCCTGCAGCCCAACCAAGAAATGACAGTTCAAAAGTCAGCAACACACAGGAAAGTGACTGCACCATCCGGACTCTGCCTGGTTGTACCCTGGTGGCAACAGGTTACTGTCTTGTTAACTCATTAAGTGTCTTGGACGACAAGTGCTTTCAGGAATATATCCCCCTAAAATATTTTACCTTCCCCCCCCCCCCCCAGAGACAGTTCAAATACCAGTACCAAGTGCCATTTGACTGCAGGCTGAAATGCGGGGCTGCAAAAGGTACTTGGGCATGCCTTCGTCTTTGCAGGTGGTGATCATAAGTTCCTGTGTGAGTCAGTCTTTGTCACACTTCATCCTCCTACACAGGCATAAGAGTTTCACTTGCAACTAAGCAGATGGTTAAGGAGAGTGGTTTTCCCAATACTCTGTTCAGCTTGATCTCAAATCATGCCACTTCAAACTAAAACAGTGAGGTAATAGATTTCAGTGTGATGGAAAATAAGGAGTTTGAGCTCATTCTATACAAGATGTAGAATCATAACCCTGGAGACCTGCTTGCTGGCTCTGAAATGCAAGTGACAACATTGCTTTAGAGGCAGTTAATGAATAGCCAGAGTTCAACTGCTGCAAAAAGCAGGCGATTTCAGACTTCACAGTGGGTAAGAATCACAATTTCAGCTAAGAATGAACAGAGACTGAAATTTAAACTCACCAGCAAGCAGTTATCAGAAAATATTTTTTGTCACACATTTTATTAGAGAAGAATTTGAAGAAACTGAGTTCAGATTTTTCAATAAGCATATCTAAGGAGCCTCTTCCAGTAACAACACAACCACAGACTGATTTCTAAACGCCAGTCAACAACCTAAGGAGTATCAAATTGTTCTGTGGGCTTCTACCAAAAGTTCTTCTTCAGGTAAATTGTAGAGCAGTTTAAGAATGCTCAAAACCAGCAGAGATGACTGCAGCTAATGCTAAAGCTCTCATGAGGCAATTATCTCATCCCATCCACACTGATAGAGAGAGAGGTTTTTTTTTTTTTTTTTTTTTTTTTTTACCAGCAGATTTCACCATGCAAAGTAGGTATTCTGGCAAAATTCCCTTTCTATAGCTTTTGAATCCAATAACTAAGAGGCTGACTTGACACTTTTGGACCCACAGCTTAGCTTATGAGTGCATGGCTCCCAAAACACTGTTCTGTAACGCCTGAGGCTTTAACATCTCCTATACCCCAGTGTCACTGAGCAAGGATGGAAGAAATCAGCACAGCATTACTGGATGTGCCATAAACTAACCAGGGTAGGTGGGGTAGTATACAGCAGTTAATACATGTTCCGAAACTCAAGGTGAAGTAAGGTGAAACGAACAAGCATCAGCTCAAAGTGTCTGCAACAGCTCCTATTTGTCACCTTCTTTCTTCCTGAATTACTGTGAACTTATTTCTGGCACAAGATCACAGTTCACAAATTGCATTGCTTTTGAGCTAGCAAAGGCAGTTCTACAGCCTCCTGAAGAAGCATGCAAGGTTAGGTTAGAGTCACTCCAAAAACCCTGCCTGGTACTAATACATTTTAAAGGAAGCTTTTTTGAAGGCTTGTTGCCTGTGGACTGTCCAGCTCAAAGGATTAGAGTTCATTTCCAAAAGGACCTCATTTCAACACCTAGGTCCTAATGAGCAAGACAAGCACCCTAGAATTGCTATCATTTGTCTAAGGACTAAGCAGTCCCTAATAACACAAAATATAAGTACCAGAAGCACAAAACAGCTGCTTTTATACTCAGTCCATACTACACAACCCGTAAGAGTAAAAAGCCCTGTGGTACAAGAAGATCTCACTCAACTTTTCAGGAAGCAAACTACCTTAATGAGGGTAAGGATCTTCTGTATTTGCTCTCTTGCTATTCTTTTTTAGAGACGTTACTAATGCTTTGAACAAAGTCCTGGATATCCTGCAAGTCCTGCAGTATATGGATCCTGCAATATAATGGCAATAAGCTTAGGAAAACTTCCTGAAAATTTTATGTCCCTCTCCCAATCCATTTCTGATTATTTCATAGCAACTTGGTGAGAGCATCCTGGAAATTCGCACATAGTTGTCCTATCCCACTCTTGCATTCTCATCTCTGCACTTTAAAAAGTAACAGAATATATAAGAAATTCCATATGAATTGTTTCTGTGTAACTTGTTTTTTGTTTGTTTTTTTTTTTTTTTTTTCCCCCCCCTGAATTTCCTTCACACATTAGATGTTTATATCTTACTCTTCAGGTAAGTTACTTACCTGCAATCCAGTAAGGCACTAGGTCTCACTGCATAATCATCTCTTTATCCCAAGTGTGTTGGCAACAACCTTCTGTCCTCCACTGAGACTCCTATCCTAATGCTTGAGCTTAAATTTAGGGGATCTTCAAATACACAATCTGATGCAATCTGTACTTCAACCAACTGTCCCTCTAAGTACAACCAGCATTGTCATGGTCTTGTCATTGTCAGGCTGCTTCTGTCAGGCTTGTGACTGCTTGAAGACAAACTGCACAAATGCTCGGGGAAAATAAATGCAACATTGTTAGTGGCAATTAACCAACAGAAAAACAATCTTTTCCTTAGATGAGTATTCTAGACAGCAGGGAGCGAAGAATATAGCAGGACTAGTAGAACATCTAAAAAAAGGCTTTAAGTGTTTTTGTTATAGAAGCATTTCTTACCCTACAAAAGAGGGCTCAGAAATAATATCTTGAAGTGGCATCTTACCAATGAAGTGGCAACTTCCCTTGAAGTTTATTATTAAGTGGCATTTATTAAGTGGCATTCTCTATTTACTATATTTATACCACAGTACCACCATCTGCTCCCTGTAACATACACAGCTACAAAGCTTTTTAATAGTTATTTGTTAGTCAGATTTTTTCTTTTTTAAATTTCCTCCATCTATATAATGTTAAACATAAAACCAGTCCATACAGGGAGGAACACTTCTTTAGAAGTAATGCACACTGGAAGGGTAGAGACATTGGAAGGGTCGAGACATTTTATCACGTTGTCCTCTGAACAAACACCAGCTAAACTGTGAAAGAGTATCAGTAGAATCTCTATGAATCTCAATTGTTCCATAGCACACATCCACTATAGGATACCACATAATGCATTTTACCTTCAAAAATGTCAACTTTAAAGGATATCAGCACCTTCCTGGAGGCAAAAAGACTGAACAGGTATCTAGGTTAAGCTTTGAACAAGTCACTTAAAATAAAGGCTGAAGTCTTTGGAAAAAAAGGTAAAAGGAATGAAGTGGAATGAAGTATTCAAATTGCAGAAAGGTTAGCTACAAAGACCATGTATTTCAAGTGGAAGAATAAAAAATGAAGGGACAAGATTAAAAGGAAATCCACAGCATTATTCCCCCAGACTGATAAGCAGATATAAGCAGGTTTCACTGATGCTACGCAGTCTTCACTCATTCACCTTTCTGTAAACGGCTATCAAAGCAAGGCCACGTAACTCGGTTCCCATGGGCTCACCCCTCACCAAAGCCCTGGAACTGTCTAGACAATGTAATTCGTCTGTGGCTAGAACCTCAGTGTGTTGTACATAAAAATTGCTTTCTGTCTTTCACACCCAAAAGTTTTGCTTTGTCCAAAGGCAAACCCTTTTGTCAGCTTCTCCACTCAGAAACTTGAAAGCCTAAGGAGCAGCATGATGTTGTCATACTTCCTACCAGCATTATCGCACTTTTTACCTGAAACATCAGCTATGTCTTATACCCCCCTCTACTTACAACTCTGCCATTATGCCTGTCTTGTTTTGTTTGTTGTTTTTTTTAATAGAAATATAAGTTAAACCACAGTTTACCATGCATCTACAACATCCTGTTACATTAAAACAGACAAAATGAATCATATCCTGAAAAAAATACTTTAATCATAACTTTAATTGACTTAAACAAATGACTTAACATAAGAATGAAAAAAATGAGAATGTCCACAGCAAGATAACAATAAAACAATTAAAATCAAACTCACCTTTTGCAGTTAAATTGCATACCAGGTAGCATGAGGCATTGTACTCACATACTTAAAAGCATTCACAACTACCAAAAGAGTAAAGTTGGAGTACTGATTTCACTTTTTTTTCTTATGCTTTAGAAAGCTTTTACCAATTGCCTGCCCCTCCTTTTAGGAAGGGGTATCTATTGCACTAATATGCAATGCTGAATTATTTTTTGTAACTAATTACACACTTTGGACTGACCAAGTATTCTACAGGGTCAAGCAACCATTTATGTGAGGTTGCCCTGAGATTTGCTCTTGAAGCCTGCTCCCCTTGATAGTTCCATTAAAGAGAATGCAGTAAGACCACTGAATGAAAAAAAAAAATCAGGAGTAAGCTCATCCAGCTCTTTACTTTTGCACACAAACCTGAGATGACATAACAGAACAATTTACTTGCAGTATTTTAATTAAGATTCTGAAGTAAAGTTCAAAGCTCTCTAGTGAAGTTGCCAAGTAGCTTCTGTGCCAAACTTGTAGCACCTGAATATTTACCATCTTCAAACTTAAAAAACAAGGCTATTTTACCACAAGAGTGACTGGTTAACTTTAATGTCATATGGAGTCATGCTGTGCAATAATCTCACATTTTAACTTTTATAATTGAGATTAAAACTCAAGAGAACCTTATTTCTACCTGTTTCATTTATACTTGTCTCCATTTTTCTCTTTAGAGTAGTTAGTAATTCTTACTGCTCTTTGTACAACAGCTTTATGACTTGTTTTTAGAAGGAAACTGCTGAGTGCATCTCTGTTAATAGTAGAATTGCAAAAGCTGAAAAAAAACACAGTCTCCAGAGTAGCAGGTTATGGATTCATGGAATTTTCATCTTCATTAAGCCCCAATATTTAGCTATCTGCTCTGTCTGGATAATTCAGCTTAGTGTGAGTGACACAGCAAGTTAAGGATTCTGGAACATTTTTTTTTTTAACCTACATTTCTTCAGAAAAAGACAAGAGTTATGCTTGCTTGAAAATTTTATTGACACAACTGTTTGGTCCCAACACACAAAACAGCACTTGAGCCACAAAAGAAAGTGTCCAAACAAAGTAGACAGCTAATAAAAGAATTGCTCCTCCCTCCCACTCCAAGAAAAAGATAGTGCATAAACTGAGGGCTTCAGTGACATTTTTTTTTAAACAGACATGAATCTGAAATAGTACATTAATTGTTAAATTAAAGAATTTCATGGTTGTAATGCTTTTAAATCTGTAAGCCACATCATTCATTTAACCCTTTGGATAAAAAAATATATTGCAATTCAAATAGCTATTTTGTTACACTATAAACACAACTTCTCAAAAGTATTATTCTATTACTTTCAAACAGCAATTTCATCAGAATCACACATGAATCCAGAAAAGGTACACTGACCTCCAGAAATGGTATAACCACATTCACTTTGACAAATACCATACTTTCCTCTAAAGCATCAAAAACTGGTTTTCTTCAGTACTCTAGATGACTTGCAGCTGCACCTTATGAAAATAGAACTCCAGATTTGCCTTTCCTCTAATGCATGCTCTTCTGAAACAAAGATCTAAGTGATCAGTGTTAACTTCTCAAAGGTAAGGTGAAAGCAGATGTTCTTACATTTAACTTATTAAAAGCATTCCAAGAAAGCTTAATCTAAATCGCAGAATGTCTGTAGAGGCTTACTGAGGACCCAGATACTGTGCCATAATGCTCAGAAAAACTTCCAAGTGTTTCTCTGCATTCACAATGGCTATATGTTTACTACAGGTAAAGTCTAAATTTAAAAGATTTTATAACAAAATCTGACTAGTAAAATTCTGTCTATAGCCATTCAGTGGCATTTCCTGTTGCTGGCTGAGAAATTAGAGCCCATGTTCCATCTCTTGCATATTACAATAGAATCCACCTAAAAAATCCAGTTGGACAGTGGAAAGCCTCTGGTATAGGTTCTTTCAGTACAACAAGCAATTTATTTGCTGCCTGGCAAATACAACCCATTGTAAATGCCATGGTTACCCAGAATGGGTATAAAGTCTCATACACTGGACGCTTCTGCTAACTAGAGTTGAGGTCATCCACTGACTTATCTTCTCTTCCAAGGCTGGCCCTTTCAAAAGCCAACACAAGACACCACAATTTGAAAACAAACAGCTTCCAACACTAGGAGTAAGTTTTAGAATAAAAACAGACACAGCTAAAAGACAGCACATCAAAGAATAAGCTTCCCATTTACCAAAGATGCTTAAAAATAGAAAACAAGGTTAAGCAGAACAACCTTAGCATTTCCACATGTAGTTGGAACTTGCCTTACAGGTGGAAATAGCATTGACTTCTTCCCTCACAAAACATTTTAATAAGACCTGCTCCATTATCTGTCATTTATGCATTACATGCATATTTTAGAAATATCAGAATCTTCCTAACTTCATTTCTAGACACAATAAAATGCGTGTGTCTCTATCTCAAACTCATAACACCAAGACAGTCTTTTCCTTAACCAAATCCATGCCAGACTGGAACTAAACATAAAAGGGAAGCTTAAAACATCGATGTCCTAGAAAGCTCCTAAATGGAACTGAAACATACAGAAAACATTTAAAACAAGTTCTACAGAAATCCACATAATCTTCTACAGACATCTTTACACAGAAAATTTACAATGCAGCTACAAGTCATCTGAAAGGGCAGAGAACAAGTTTCTCCTCTGGAGTACAATCAACTCCCTTACTCTTGTCACTTTAGGTCAGTACATTAAAACTTCTTAACAGGCTTTTGAAAGACAGATCATGCATTTTATTAATACTGTCTGAAACAATACCAGTAAGCAACAGCCTATAGAGTATAATATGCTACATGTATGATTACACCACCAATGAGGCTTAAGGAAAATAAAATCTGTTCCATTTTAGTTGAATTTATAATTTGCTTTTACTGAACACATTTATGAAAAACTGTAAAATTTAAGAATAATTTAATGAACGCTGGATTTTTTCAAAATAACAGAAAAATTCTGCTCTGCTAATAGCTGTGTTCAGTGTAAAAGGAACAAAATATTCACAGAACACATTTAAATACAAATTAATTCTAGGCCTTTCATTAAAATACATAAGGGCTAGCAAATAGCTTCATTTTGTGCAGAGTCCATAGGTATTTGTCTTTCACACTAAAAGAAACAGTTAAAGCTTGGTTACGGGTGCAAGTGAAAAGTTTGCTGCCAATTTCACCTTGTTTTTGTGTTGCTTTTTGGCTGGGCTGTCCATTGCTTCCTTGTTTAGTTGGGTTTCAGAGGACTGACAGGGAGGCACTGAAGTATTCTCTGTGGTGTTAGATACCACCGAAGCAGAGGTCAATTCTTCATGAGCTGTGGTAACAATTCTTTGTTTTTCTTCTTCTGTTAAAATCATCATCTCTAAAATAAGCAAGACAACTCTATTAATGCTCTGTTATTCAAAAAATAATACTTCTCTGGTAATAGAAAATAAAACGCTCAAAAAGCTTGTCAGCCTGATTTGAAGCCAAGAGATGTGTCACATTCACCTCTGCAGCTGACATGATGTTTTGGCTCTTTTTGTTTTATACTATTTAGACTGTTTAAATTAGTTCTCATAAATTAGGTCTGTCAGTGCTCAAAAAGCACAATGAAATTACTCTGGTGAAAATACTGCTACAGGTTGACAAAATGCAATTTTAATGGTGGGGAGATAAGGTACCTATAAAATTCACCCCCCTGAGAGCCACTGTAGGGTACTTATTGTCAGCACTCAGACATCTGATAGAAGCCACCTGCATTTCCAACACATCCTATTGGGCAATGTATAGTTTTTTTCTTTTTAAGTGGTAAAAACTCGGTAAACAACTCTTTGTTTGATGTTCTGTTTGAGATCATGAGTCATCATCACTACATTAGACACAACAGGCAACCAAACTCTTACCTGAGAGAGGTACAGGACGTTCCTCAAACTGAATTAGGTCAGCGGACTCAAGAACCACTGGATCAGGTCTCAGTTGCGGGGATGGTAAGCAGGAAGGAACTGGCTCACACAAAAGGTCAACAGGAGACGTATTTGTGAGGCAAAGAAGTTCTTGCTCAGTTTGATTAGAAGCTACAAAGATAAGAGAACATCTTTCAAAGCATCTGTAAGCTACGAAGGTATTATTTCAGCACTGTTAAATGCAAAGCCTTCAGATGTGATTCTGAGGATTTACAAACTATGCCATATACCAGCCTCAGTTACTTTGGTGGGACAAAAAGCATCTAATCAAATTACAACACAGCAGACAAGCAAAAACTCTGTTGAATCTGGTGCTTGCCCAAGCAGGTATACCCCTAGAGTAAAATCTTATTTGCCAAACTTAACTAATAAACAGAGAGATGAGGAACAGTCTTTTAACAGAGAAGGGCCACTTCCCAGACAACTCCCCTGCAGATATACTGACATCATATCAGTTATTTACACAACAACTAACACTTAGATGTGAAAATTAAGTTTCAAAATAAAGTAACATGCGCTTACTAAATGGAGTAAGCCTAGACTTCTTAGGTAATAGCTCAAGAATTATTTCTCAAGTTCTCCCAACTAGATGCAATAGAAGAATTGGAGACCACAGCAAGACATGACGTGTAAGCTCAACATTTCCCAGTTATTTTTATTTGCAGACAGACCTATGCAAGTAGGACTGTCATTATTTGCCAATACAAAAACTCAAAGATAACCCAAAAAGGACTACTATGCCCTAACAGAAGGTAGGAGACAGCCCTGCCAAAAGCTATTACTGACCATCCTTTCTCATTAGCCTTATCCATGCAGACTTAAGTTTCCACTAAAATACAGGAGAAAGTATTGCAGTGATTATACGCACAGAGCTGAGAACAGACACCCTTGTTGAAAGGACACATGCTTGACTACACACCGAGAAGATCAAAGAAGCAGCTTTCAAACCCAAAAGCATTTTTACAGAAGTTAAATCTAACTCACACAGCTTTCCCCATGCTGCTTTGCTTACTTGGCTTATTTCCCCAGAGATAACAAATTTCTTATACAAATCAACTTAGCATTACCATTGCTAGGTGTTCCTAGACTTAATTCCATTGATGAAGTGGATCCTGTGTTCTCCATAATATGTCCATTATGGTCAGCAAGTTGATTTCCATGATCATCCACATGATCAGCAGGGGGAAAACTAGGTGAGCTAAAACGAGCTACAAAAAGGCAAGTTCATTTGGTTCATTTGCTAAAGTGACCTCTTAGAGAGAAAGAAGGATGGAAAGTATGGTTTGAAATTGAAAATGCTTACTTTTCATGTCATTTTTCAGTACCACAATTCTCTTATGGCCATGTCCTTTGATCCAGACCACCTATAGAGAAAAACACAGAATTAAACAGCAGTACATGCCAGAATTAAACAGCAGTACATGCCAGCCTCAAAGCCTAAAGCAGTTTACTCAGTGCCTTCACTGATTAATTTACTTCAGTGCCTTCATGTCTTACCCTGAAGTTATTTTTAAGTCAACTGAATCATATTGCTAATTTGCTCTACTTTGCCTAAGTAAAAGCAGTGTCTCAAAATTGATGCCAAACAAAGGGAATCAATAGGGCTAGAAAGTATATTAAATACTAAACTACATTTAAGCATGAAATTCTAAATTTCCATTTTGTTACTCTCCACAAAAATTAGTCTACTCAGAAGATAACAGCCATAAACCAGGTCACAAAGTTATCCTAGAGCACTTAAATGCATGTGGATGACAAGATGGCACAGCAAAACGCCACTATGCTTCTGACAAGGTGACACAGCTCTTTACTCCAGGAAGCCTATCGTAAGCAAAACTGAACTTGAATACTGTAGTTCTTTACAGTGAAAAGAAAAAAGAATTCTCACTTGATAAAGATGCCAAGAAAGCAAGAAAGTTTGTGGCCTCACCAGGAACAGTTCTTAAGCAAAGTTCTTTTGAAAAAAGAAATTCTCATTACAAAGCCCCGACTTCCCAAAAGCTGTTTAAATACAACTGGTATAAGCCTCCTCAAAAAATGTAGTCATACAAATAACTCAAACCAAATGTCAGGAGCTTCAATTGTGTTACTGTTTTTTAGTTCATTCAGAAGTCTCAATGTGATTGTGCAAAAACAATTTTTCACACCTGTGGAATTGCTCCCAAGAGCTCTTCTAAATTATTGCATCCATACGCTTTAGGTTGAAGCACTTCTCCTGTATATTTGCTATATGCTAGTGGGAACTCATGAAGAAAAATCTGCTGGTAATGGTAGGTGTGAAGTAAGGACCTCACATTCTTTGCAAACATATACAGATTTGTAAGTTTCACATATTCTTCAGTGGCACCATTGGTAAAAACCTATTAGGAAAAAAAAAGAATTAGAGTGCAAGCTTATGTATCCTCTAGTTATGATGTTTCTTTCAAAGTATGAAAGACCAGAAGAGAACTTCATACCTCAACCAAATAAGGCAGACTCTTCAAGAGCTCAGTTAAGGTCATAAAACCATATTCACATGGATTAAGAGAAGTACTATGGATTGTTTCATAATGTTGTTTAAGCTGTTCAACTGAGAGAAAGGATGTTCCATCCCAAGACATCAACAAGACTAGTAATTGTGCAGTCAGAGTCCGCAGAGATTTTCTGTTTATCAGCTGAATCTGCTTGCCAGCCTCTGTATCAACAACCTACAAAAATGAATTTGGAAAGTAGTTAGGGACAAGGAAGGAAATTGATCTATAAATGAAGTGTGTAGCTGGGGTTTCAGCACAGCTGTATCTTGTGTTACGTATCAGCATCTGGTACTAGTCAAAAGCCTAAAAGATGAAGCTTACAACAAGTTACAACATAAAATATTTACTTTAAATACAAGATCTGTGTAGCAGTTTGTCTATGCAGTAGACAATTTTATTCTTTGTTCCAAGACAATTGGATGCGACTAAGCTCCAGCCTGAACACCAGCTGCTGAAGTAACAGCATGGGAGAAACTAAAAGACTATGTCTGTATCTACATCGGAGTATGTATGCCTTCTTTTCTACTGGCATACAAGATCATTAGACATTTCCAATCCAAGTCAAAGCCTCAAATCAGATTAAAATAAAGTCAAGATTATAAAACATCACGAGAGAGTGAGACCTACTAGAGCTAACAGGAAATGACTACAGTCATGGGAAGAAAACTGCATTACTGTTAAAAAAAAAGCATTCTAATACAATACTTTAAAAAAACAAGTAAGTGTGCATGAATTTTCCTAGAAAAAGATAAAAATCAGAAGTTTTACATTTTTAGACACACAGAACCGTAATTTGAGATAGGAAAACCTCAACACATTACATACCTTTTTGGTGGATAAATTACAAAGAGCATTACCTTTACAACATGACAAAGTTTTTGCATTAAAGCTGGAACTGAGCTAACATCATAGTCATGAAGACGCAGTGTATATCCAAATGTTTTGCTGTACTCTGTCAGTAAATCAGTCATCATTAGGCAGTTGTCTTTCTGAGACCGCAGCAGTTTAACAAACTGGGCAGCAACTGCTTTAACTTGCTCCACCTCCGTGAGTGTGAGAATTTTCTCTTCTCCACATTCCAATACCTACAAAACCAAAAATACACTTCGTTAATGCAAGTTACCGAGTTAGAATGAAAAAAATTAATCTGCAACTAAAATTCAGTGCTTGCAAGCAATCATGAGGTATACAGCAGGGCTATCTCAAAAGATATTTACATAGCAAGCTATTTACACAGCAAGCTTACATAGCAAGCAAAAAACAGTTTATAAAGTGACAAAGTAGGCAATAAAAATAGCTCGCTTTCTTTAACCAAGTTTAATATAACTTAAATGAAATTTAGCTCTGATTTTGATGCACTTCATTTTGTAAACGTAATCCAATTTGAATATATTTAACTAGCCTGAACATACTATAAACCTTCAACAATTTACTAACATGGCTATAACAAAGTTTTAAATGCATACATAACTTTAGTATGAGTTCTAAACATTTTACTTTTGAACTCATGCTGAAACAAACAGATTTTAGGACTTACTTGTAACACATCTGGTATGGCTTCAAAGAGTTCAAGTAGTTTTGTAAAACCGTAGTAAGCAAGTTTGCACTGACGACCAAAATGGTGGTGGTAAGATGGAATAAATTTATTAAAGGGCATTCGAAAGTGGGGTTGGTGGCGTAATAAGTCTACCACCTCTTTAGAAAATTGTTTGGTTCTTTCAATTTCTTCCTGCGTGCGTTCTAAAATTAAAAAAAGAAAGCTATAGCTGTGTACCAACAGAACTATTTTGACATACAGCAGAACATGAGAATAGTGATTTTCATGTTTCTCACATTACACCACTTTCTTCTAATATTGAAGACCCCTGTCTTAAAATAAGACAGGCATAGTCCAAAATAAGCACGTGATCAGTACTTTACAACATCTTTAATAGTCAAATATTTAAGTACGTGTTGTGTAGAAATAACCTGTTCTCTAACCAAATCACAGAAAGCTTGCTATATGCAGTAGTAGCAGCATGATCTTGTGTTTTGCCACCTGCTTTCCCGTCTGTTCCATTATAAAATTATTCCTAATATAACAAATACAGGGTTTGTTACAACTTCCTAACTACTTTACAGTTAAAGGTGGTTATAGAGGTAGAACGAGCTATCATCAACAAAATATCCCACATCACTTCTGCATTTTTTACGTAGCCTGGTTTTTAATATATTCAAAGAACAATTTCTTTAACAGTAAAAGATAAGGTACTTACCTCTTTTGGGAATACAGATCACCATTTCATTATCTTGCTGTGACAAACAGATGGTTGTATCTGGAATTTCTGATATTATATCTGCCAGTTCACAAACTCCATACTCAGTAACATCCCAATCCTTGGAGAAACACCTGCAAGTTTTATAAAATTGCATGTTTTATAAGATTATAGTATAATAACCTTACTTTATAAGATAATACAATACAAATGTCAAAGTTTTGAGTTAACATAGAATGCTATTAGAATAAACCTCAGATTCTAACAAGGTAAGCATCATTTTCATATTACCAACGTTAGCATATGAAACAAAGGAAAAAGTACTTAAACCAAATTATCTGTTCTAACCAGAAAAATAAGGGTTATACTAATGACTCACACGCCACTGGAAGAAAGCCTCACCAGCCCTACACTCAGTAGTAGTGGCAAGTAACAATAGAAAACCTGAACTTGAATAGTATTATTTTAGCAAGAGACTAAAAAACACGTTGTATGCCCCCCATGCTGCCACGCTTTCAACCGTTTCTATTTGCATAATAAAGATGTGGACTGTTCTTAAACAAGGTAAGGACTTGATAGAAGATATAGACCTATTATAGACCTTATAGGCATATCCTGGAAGACAGGATATTAAGGTTCACGATACTATGCAGAGTAAAAAGTATTTTGCTCCCCTTATTCCTTTCCCTCCAGACTGATGAGCACTTTTCAGATGCAGGAATGTTTCACACTTTTATTCAAGGAATTGCCAAAGGTAATCAATTGTAAAGGGAGATACACATTTAGTAGGTTAAGAAACAACCAGTAATGTATTTTTGCCAATAGCAGAAATAAGTGTGCATTTCCACAAAGAATGCATTAGCACATGTAGTGAAATCATTTTTTAGAAATAGACCATACGTAGCACTAACATACAATAGTTTCCTCTACGCAGCTGAGGTACTACTTCCTATCTTCACGGTAAAGGAAAACATGTTTTAAAAAAGAAACAATGAATTACTTCTTTTTAAAACCAGACCAGAATAACTCCTGGTAATAGCAAAACAGCTATTATTCATCCTCATTATTATTGTTTTCCCCATTATTATGTCACTGTTAAATTTGACTGAAATTAGGAACATCTACTGACATTCAGGCTATTTTGTGTTTCCCTCTAAAAAAAGTAACACTTTTCCCATAACAGTTCATATTATAAACATGCTACAAGCTACTTAGATATATTAGCCAGCTTCACAAGTAGTCAGCTTCATTAGCCAGCTTCAAATAGACTAATGAAATAAAACAACCTCTTTTCCATTTCAGGAAATTTACATGAGCCTAGTACTGAAGTAAAGCAGTACAGCCTGACAGAATTCTTAATTTTCATTAGAAGCTGGAAATTGCAAGTCATGAAATACAGTTGCTACAAGTTTTGTACTAAAATCAAAAGCGCTGACCCCTCTTGCACTAGGTTTAAAAGCCACAGCTGGATAGACAATTCTTCCTGTTTCATTCGAAGTTAACTTACCAATGATAAGCCTGTAAGAATTCCCTTACAATAACTTGCTTGCTGGCCTGGGATTTCAGAAGCTTCAGTAAGTCCTGAGTAAAGCGCTTCACTTGAGCTCTGTGCGTTAGAGTTAATAAGCGTTTGGAACCCATGCCAAGAATCTGAAAGAAAGTTATTTGGTCACTCATCCTTAGCATCCTCAGCTAATTATATTTACAAGTTGGTTACAAGCTAGTTCTAGTATCGGTACACTAGAGATAAAGGATACAGACAACTGTTCACAGACAGCCTTGTAAAGCCATATACTTTTGGTAATAAGGCATATGCCTCAAGAAATATTTCCTCCAGGAGTACTGCAATTGTTGCATATGTTTGTATTGGTTGTTTTAAACCTCTACAACAACTAGCATTCAAAGCAGTAAGATAATGTGACCACACTATCTTTTTTGTAAGATAAGGCCATGCTATTTGTTATTTCACAGAACAATCCTTCAAGTAACAAGCTACACAGACTAACTTACTGGCATTCAGATGTTTACTGTGTTTCTTTTACCTAAAATCATTTATCCAAGCATTGACGATAGATTAAAAAATCCTTCAAGCTTGCCACTCGAGGCATAGATTAAATAAAGTGTTAACTTCCAAAGAAGTTATTTTGGGGAGGTGGGGTAAATAAACAGCAGAGAAGTAACAACTCAAGACAAGGAGGAATTCACTTAATTAAACCAAAGCAGGAAGTAACTTAATTGAACCTTGGATTGTAATATCTCTTTCGAGGTCAACAAGGTAATTCCATGGCATCTACTATATAATACCAACCAGCAACAGGCTCATAATTCAGATAGTTCAAGATACAAATAGAGTTCTCCAAAGTAAAAGAAGTGCCAGGTAACTCACCTGCAGTACATGAGGTACTGCTTCTAGCAGCTCCATTAACTTGGAATACCCGTAGTCAGACACACGGCATTGTTTTGCGAAGTGATGATGGTATGTCGGGATGAATTTACTGACAGGTATGATGCAGGACGGTTGGCTTTTAAGAAGATCTATAACTTCTCTACTGAATTGGATAAGCTGTGGATTACCTACAGGGCTCTTAGAACGCAGAAGCCAAGGATCTAGAGAAAAAAATAAATGGTGTTACTGAACCTTGCACTAGTATTCTTCCACTAATCACTGCATATTATTTGTGACAAAGGTTAAACACTTTCCTTTACTAAGTTTATCAATTATACAAGACATTCTCTGGTATTTTTTGAAACATTTCCACAGAAACATATTAGTTCAGAAAAAAAGATGAAATATTTACCTGTGGTAGGAGGTGGTGGTTTGTTATGTATCCACTTAATAACTTTAATGCCATTTTGGGCAGTAGCAATATTAACTCCAGGAACACAGGTAATCAGGTGTTCTAAAGGCACACCACCCTGGCCTTCTGGCACCACTTGAAGATCATTGAACTCTGACATATAACAATCAGGAAAACTTTGGAAGAAAGAAAAGAAAGTTTCTATTATACACTAAAATACTACTATAACAGTGATCCTAAAACAATTATTTTGAGCCAGTTCCTGAGCAAAAGGCTTTAATAGCTTACTAACAGACTACAGAAGTCCTAATAAAAAGTGTGCATTTTAAATAAAAACATCATTTTGTGCTCAGCAAGATATAAAAGCAATAATTTGATAAAGTTATTTGACAAGCATGTATGAGGAGTGGAATTTTTAATATAGCAGGTAGTTTCAGATTGTTACAACAGCCATAAAGTTTTAAAACTTGAGATTTCAGCCTTTATACTAAAAGACTAACTTAAACTACTTTACCTTAGTAAAGGTACAGTACCCTCATGGGTCTGTAAAAGACTGTGAACTTGAGGAGCAAACGTCTTCAGAGACAAAATCACAAAGGGAATTCTGTAAGAATCTGGATCAAATTCATGCTCACTGTAATAACAAGAGGTTAAAGTCAATACACTCCTCCTACACTCAGTTTTAACATGACACCTGTGCTCACCTACACACCCATAATAAACGTACTATGATTCACAGATCCTAGCTAACCAGGCCACTACATAAGTCACAAGCATTTTCCATCTTTTATTCATCAAAAAAGGGGTCTAAAGCAAGTTTTCAGAAGATAAGTCAGAAGGCCATGCTTTTATTATCATTAGCTTATAATGTGTAGCAAATGGGTAGCAGTACAGCAACACATACCAGCCAGTTAACAGTGAACACCTAGTAACAACAGTACTAGAATACCCTGGCTGTTGTTGAACAAGATGAAAAAATGTAGTATGGGGCTTCAGGACATCTTCAACCCAGTAAGAACAATTTACCAAACATGCTACATGAACTTTCTCTAGCTTCAATCCACTTATTAGTGTTAATTGCTGTTCAAATACTTTATAATATTTTGTAATATTTTATGCACAGCTTACATAAAGTCTTTATTCAGGCAATGCTGCTTACAAACAGGCTCGTGATATTCCAACTCTTCAAATATTATAGGACTACAGTTTGCTGATGAACCATCATGTGACTGTGAAGATCCCAATGGGCTTTGACGGGCTTGACTGCTGGGCAAAAGACACACCAACCGCCCACTTCCTTGGTCACGGATTGCCACAGTATCCGTTAGTTTGTACAAGTCTGATACAATTAACTTGTGCCCAAATCTAAAAGAAAAAAAGATATATAACTCTTAATTTTATATTTATAACAGAGGAATATTGGAGAAACTATGCTATGCAAACTGTTCAGGCAACCACAAATCTGTTCACCTAAACAGAAGAAAAAAAAAGTCAGTAAAATAGCATATTCCTTTAACCAAAGGCCAGTATTAAAGTCACTGTTCTGGATAAAGATACTGCAACATCTAACAGCAAAGCACAGCACCTGTTAGTTTATATAACACACTATAAGTAAACACAAAACTGAATTCTTCTTAGAGGCACTAAACAAGAACTCAGAACTTACTTCTTCTCATAGATTTCTGTGAACTTGAATACAGGCAGACAACAAGCAGGTGCATCCTGCAGAATGGAGATTGCTTCTGAGCTAGAAGAGAAGCTTTATAATGTTAGCACAAGATTAATCTGTTAGTATTAGAAATAGCTATGTATTCTCTGGACTAGTGTGGGACATGTTTATAGTTCATAAAATGCATCTAAATATGACAACAGGACTAACTATTCCCCTTTTGTCCCAGCACTATGGAAGTTGATGCTTCAGATCAGTGGAGTGCAGTTAGTAATATATTCCTTCTAACTCACATAAGTAACATCTTTAGAGAAGTTCCATCTTAAGTTTTAAGTTTTTCAGCACCTATAAGTTCTAACTTCTAGTGCTACAGTTTTAATGTTACCAGTTACCTGGTCATTACATTAAAAAGAAATTTGAACTGCTATAAACTGAAACACAAGAAGGAAATGAAGTTGCAAGTCATGCAGTAGCAAGAGAATTGATGAATACAATGTATACCAACACACTATTTTCAAAGGGAGCTTTGAGACAAGATTTTTTTCTAATGCTTTCTTTCAAGAGGGATGAAAAACAAAACACTTGTATTCCCACTAGCATTAGCACTCTAGTTCTTCTACCACTTTCCTTACAGAAAACTGAGATAAAGAGAGCAAAAGCATTTGAACTGTGCGTCCTCTTTAAGAAGATCATTTGCTGGCATTTTCTTGGAGAAAAGAAATAAAAGATGCAAAGTATAATCTCAACTCAACTGCTAAAAGTACATTATTGAAGATCATCAGTATTACAAAAGCCGTGATGGAAGTCCAACACAAGGACACCATTAAGCAGATCTAATCTCTTTAAAGGTAACTTTAATGTAAGCAATGTAAAAATGCTGAACTGAGAACTGTCAGCCTAATTGCATTTAACACAATTATCAGATCAGACAGATTTTTACTTTACCTTCCTATCATTCATTTACTCAGTATTTTAAATTCTCTCTCAACTACTAAATACATGCTATAGCAGTTGAGACAAAATTTATCACCTTAGGAGAGAGAGCGATTTATTAGTAGCTCCCGTTGCTAGTGAGACCTGGATCCTTTTACTGCCAATTTTGTATCTGTGAAGACTGTTGACAGCACTGATTGCTTCTTGTAGATTTTCCATCTGAACTGTAGCCTTCAATTGGTAGTCTGTATGAGGACTAAGCTCGACACTTTTTACCTGAAAGTCAAACAGAGCCACACCACCTTATGCATTTACCACAAAATATTAACCCAAATCAAGCTGACAGAAGAATATTAGTCTGTGGCCAGCAGACAAACATGAGGCAAAAGGGAACTGAGTATGATGAGCTACAGCCAAGAGGACAATGCAAACAATGATCCAGTGTAATAAGCTGTAGACAAGGCAAGGCCACAGTACTCAGTTATCTCCTTCCCATGCAGAAGATGCCAAAAGAACATTTTCTACAGATCACACATAGCATCACTATAAGAATGATCTCCCCCAGTATAATTATTTAGAACAATCGTCACTCTCCCTGGTTTTGATCACTTAAGACTCAAAACAAACTCAGTTTTTACTTTTTTAATCTGACATTAAGAATTCAGCCTTACAGCTTAAAATGATTTTGTAGCCAAAGAGTATCTCTCTTCCCTTCATGCAGAGGGAAGCACTTAAAAACGAGACATATAACAAGCTTCAAACTGACATATCTACAGAGACCACAAGCAAGTTACAAAGCTAGTGCAAGTGACCTTCTGAGTTTTTTTCCCCCAAGGAAAAACTTTGCTACAAGGCAGTATTATGTAAGAGTCGCATTTGGATAGCTTTCTATTCCTACTCGAAGCTAGACCACAAACGCACCCATGAAGACATAGACAAGAAGTATTTAAAAAGAGATTTAGTGAAGGGATTTTACCCTTTACCTTGCCATGCCTTGAGAAAGTTTCTTGTAAAGTTTGCTGCAGCTCTTTTCTGGACAATCTGTAATCTATATTGCTGATCTGAATGTCTGCACCATTTGCAAAAGGATCAGGGCATTCTGTACTGCTGGTATGATTTACTACATTAAACGTGAGCGGAGATGATCTATTTGAAAGGTTTGGAGACATACTCCTGGATAAAACAAACATTTATGAAGTAGTTATTGCACAGTTCTGGTATGTTGAAATCCATTAAAAGACACAGATCAAGTACACAAATACAGAACTTTGAAAGCATTTTCGTGCTACATATATGCAGGCAAAACAAGTTTCACACATGCAAAACACCAAAGCAAGACAAGCACGTCCTTTGAGAAGGCTGATGAATAATATGAATAACCTTCTAAGTCATCCAACTTAACATATGTGACCCCAGGTCTTCCTCTACCATCCTAATAATAGGAGTTAAACTCATTCAATTTATTTTAATAGTCGACAGGTGCCAGATATTTAAGCCTCTAAGAGAATTTGAAGTGCTTGGAAGAATTGCTACAAGGAACAAAGACACAAATTAAGAGGAGTAAGATGTCTAATACCTCTGATTTTTCAGAAGTATTAGAGTCAAAGTCTACATGAAACAATTGCCACACAGTAAGTTTCTGATAAAAGTTCAACTTATGTTTCTATCCACCCTGTCAGCTATTATGTAACACCATCACAACTTCTTTTCACATGCACATGAATTGGTAATGTTTACTGTATCCAACTCCACATGAAAATATCAAGAATCAAAATAGATAAAGGCCTAGCACTGGCCAGTCCTGCTCCACCTCCCAAACAAGACTCAGACACTTACCGAGATGACCAGCAACTCTGAGACATGAGCAAAGGACTGAGCTGTCTTGAGGCTGTCAACTTACTGAAAGCAGATGGATAGCTGACCTGAAATACAGTTTCATCTTTATCTTTTTTATCTACAGGGGAATTGTTAATACTCCTGGAAGCAGCAGTCTCTTTTCTATTTAGAAGTACACAGAAAAGAAAAAAACACGTTACGTTGCAGAATTCATATAAAACAAGTGCAGTTAACATCAGCATCTAAGTTCTCAAACATACTTATGACTACTTTTACAAGACGATTCTCCTGTTCCAGTTTTTTTGGTTGCCAGAGACACAGGAATCACTGCATTAGAGTTATTCTGAGACGGAATTTGTTCTCTTAAGTGTTCTTGCTGGTTTTCAGTATTTCTACTGATAGTCTTTGATTCAAGCCGACATAGCTCCTATACAAAACAGCAAAAAGGTCAGCAAAAGAGCACTAGACATTCCTTATGACAGAAAGTCAAAGTTTTCTTTAGTTAGATTTTCATTGGCTCTTCAAAACCAGGAATACTTGATTTTCTGTGACAAAGTAGTAAATGGTCAATGATTTATTAGTATTTTTGCTATACTGTGTAAATCTAATTCAATACCAATTTAAAAACTACAACTGACCTAGGATCCAAGACTCTGTAAGCACCAACAATATTTCCAAACTGAGTAAGAAGGGGTGGTGAAAGCAAAAACTTTCGAACTCAACACATGCTTTCCAAGCAGATGAGTATACAACTCACTCACGAACACACTACACATTACAGTTATACATCAACTAGAACTGACCAGTTAAAACTACAGCTCTAGCAAGCCATCTTCAGAACATGACTAACAGCAAAACTACAAAACAAGGCAGAACACAACAATACCTGTAAACTCTTAACATTTGTGGGCTTGATAATTGATCCATGAATCTGTACCCCTCTCCCAGCAGCGCCTTTGGTACCAGAAGCCTGATCACTTGCATCTTTGTTGAAGAGACACAGCTTTGTGTTCTTGTTAACTTTTTTGGGAGACTTCACCTTTTCAGTTCCAACAAAGCTGGAGGTTTTTGTTTCATTAAGTTCTTTGTTTTTGGGAGTAAAAGACACTATGATCCTGTTGCCAAAAACATCTTCATTTTCCATTCGTTTCCGAGCCCGTTCAGCACTATCTTGATTTAAAAAACGGAGAATTGCACTGCTTCCAGAAATGCTCAGCACCTTTCCTCCACAGTTGTCTGACAAGCGCCGGAGTCTATTACTGACACTTTTACTGTCTCTGTTCGTAGGCAGATTGTAAACATACAACAATGTATGGCATGCCTGTTAAAGGGAATAAGATTTTAGTTTGATGTCAGAACACCCATGTGTTGTTCAAGAAAAATATTTTTATGTTGATTCTGGTGACAAGCTCTCCCCTGCAAAAGTCTTCTCTTTACAACGTTCAGTTTGTTGGGAAAACTAATGCCAAGGTTGGCTCTGAAACTTCCATCTCCAAAATAAAGACAGAAGAGACTACAAACACTCTGATCAATGGATCAGTACCTGACTACTTCTCCAGATAAGAGAGCCTCACAGTTTGCAACCCAAGAATTCTATGTATCACACAGATGCATGTGAACACATAGTTAAGGAAGTTCTTCTGAAGAAAAGCCTCAGTGCTGTGCAAAGACAACACAGCAAATCCAGAGAGCACCATCCAGAGGAAAAACATGGTAGGCTGTTACTCAAAACCAGCTTCTTTGTTAGGAGAGCATCACAAAGCTGTCTTAATGCACAGCTAAGTTCTTATCCTACTTTCCACCAGTGAAAGAAACTCATGTAATATACATTACCTCATCAAATATTTAGTGAATGTGACTTTGCTGTTGTACTTTTTTTTTTTTAGTAAACTACTTGGCTCTTTATTTCATTCTTTGTCTTAATGCAGAAAGCACACATTCACACAGCAGTAACTAGAATACAGACCATGGCCAAATCTGTAGCAGACTTTATGTCCCACCATAAAAATAGCACTGCTTTCCCCAAAAATCGGAAAAAGAGGGCTTTAACACTTGGAAACGTTCACTGCATTAAGAATTTGAAACCTTACCGGCATTTTCAGTGGTAACCTTGGGGGCAAATCTGAAATAAATTCTTCAAAACAAATAAGTTCATGAGCATGATGTAAGAGTGCTTCTGAGGCTTGGTTTTTATGTACCAAAATTATCCGAAAACCATGTCGATGTCTCAGGTCACTGAGTTCCAAAGCAAAATTTACATCCGCTGCAGTAAGGAAGAATGAACACATGGGGAAAAAGTAAAAATCATAGATTAAACATGCAATGCACCAGAGCTCACTTGTCAGATTTTATTTATTACTGAAAGTTTCCAATGAAATAGCACTAACAGCAACAAGACTTCAGATGTAAATCAGTAGTTACCACTTGGTCTCAGAGAGGTACTTCCTTTTAACAGCAACTTGGAGCAGCCTGCAAGGCATTTGACTGCTACTGTATACTTTTGTAACAAGAAAACATTTAGCTTAACAGGTATTACAGTTTTAGGGAGAAACCCAAGGCAACACACAGCAATTTAGTAGTTGAGTGCTTTACATGTTTACCTGTGTAGTATGCTGCTACAAGAACAAAAATATTTAATATTTGTCTCAAAACTCATTCCTGAAAGATATCCATAACGAAGACTCAGTTACTTTATTAAGGTTCCTATTGAAGCTGTCTAACAGACAGTATTTATAAGCATAGCTAGTAACATTTAACAGGCCAACAGATTGCAATGATTTAACTAACAAGTCTCATCTTCTGTGCCTACTTTTCTCTGGCTGTCAACAAAATTATGATTTCTTAATTAAACAGGTCAGTTAAAGCTGATTCTAAACATAACTCTTAAAAAACAAAATACGGAAGTATTTACATGTAGAAGTACTACTGAAGAAAAGAACAGTGTTCTGTACCACAGAAGGACCACTTACTTGACACAAGAACCACAGTGGCAGGTGCTGTGTGTGTATCAGCAAACCTCCTAAGACTCTGCCTGAGTTTGTCATCAGCAGCATTCTTTGCTGTAGCATTGATGTGCGCAACAGTCACCTATAGAAATGTAGAGAGATTCTACAGAATTGTTCAAACATACTAGCTTAAATGTTGTTCAAGAATAACAGATACAAGCTATCCCTTGCAGTTTCTATTCAGACAATACAACACACACATGCATGAAGTACAGCATGTGGATACCAAACCACTCTGAAGAGCAATGAACTGGACAGCTAATTGCTCAGCGTCTTAAGGATGACAGCATTCTGTGTAGAGATCACAATTTCCATGTTTTGCATTCTTTAAGAGTATAAGCCACTACCGTGAAAACGTTCTACAAGCCATCATTTGAAATACAGATGTGACAAACATAGCAAGAACTGTCATCACTTCATTTTAAGCTTCATGTAAGCAGGTAATTACAAACAACGGGCTGGCAATTTCTTATAGCTTCAGACTAACTATCCAATAACAAACAATTTGCTAGCATATCTACAAGTTCAGGAGCAGGAAGGGAAATTGTGTGAGAACCTGCACACAAAAAAGTCAAAAGATACCAAGAAAAAGTATTGATGGAAAAAACAAATTGTTGAAGGTGTCACAATACCACTACTTTGCAAGAACACTAGTGAGCAAAACATTCACAAACAAGAGGTAAAGCATCATGTTCTCTAAGTTAATGCTATAATCACTTATTTCAAGGATACTACTAGAAGCATCTGCTTATTACTGAATGAAATCAAAATTATCTGAGAGCTAAGCTAAAAGGGTAATCTACATATAACAGAATGCGGTTTCAATTTTAAGTAGCATACCAAGAAAGTTTAGCATTAAACAGCACCTACAAGGTAATTATAAGACTATGCATTTACAAAAAGTCAAAATAAAAGCTCTTAGTAAACAGAAGTCAATCTGTAGAGTACTTATCCTCAAGCACGCATGCTAGGTAAATGCTGTTTTCATACCTGGCAGTTGTTCAGCTCCTGAATAACTTCTTTATTTTCTTTGCTTATGTCACACACACAAATGAATTCTGCCTCTCTGTGACCTTTAAAAAACTTTTCCCGAATTCTCTGTACAACCGCTACAGCCGAACGGCCAGTGGGAACTGAACAGTTTTCAATATCCCAGAAGACTCCAATAGGGGGCAAGTTTTCCAGAACTTGTCCTGTTACTGCAACTTCTGGAGACCCTGTACAGGTGTAACACAGCTCATTTTAATCCCCAAATACCAGAAGTGTTCTAGTTTGCATACTATGAACTTATGATAAAAATTAGAAGTTCCATGTTTTAGAGAACAGCATGCCTAGGAATGCAAATTCATTCTTCTTATATAGTTGTGCATCTTTCCAGTTCTACCTCAAAGGAGAAACCTTATAGCTCAAATCCATATTAAACATGAATTTAATTGCTGTTAAGTTAGAATAAAGATGCAAGTCAACTGCAACTTTACTTTTAACTCTGAAGTAACTAAGTAACATGTTTAGAAAAGGTATCATATACTGAGGTGGCATGTACAATGAAAACTGAGGGCTGTATCAATAAAAAAGTGAAACATTAAAGCTGTTCAAGTGTACAGTGTGCATTAGAAAAAGAATCTAAACAAAACCAGCTGAGATGACTAGTAGTGTCAGTGAGTACAGAAAAATTAAGGTAGTATGTAACAGAGGTGTCCTATAGAAACGGACACAGAGGTTTAACTTTTGCTATTACATGCTAGGAACTGCAAATAAAGTTTCTGCAAATAAAGTTTTCAGGTGTTTCAGCAATCTGCCTATCTACATAGTTATGAATCAACATTAAACGCACTATCCCCATAGAACAGCCAGAAAACAAATCTGATGAATGACCATCATCACATGTCAAACACAAGCCAGGAAATAAAATTAGCTGAGAACATCAGGTTTAGCACAGCAGATAACTACCATGTTTGTTTGGGTATATATTGACCACTTATTCTACAAGATTCATTGTTACTCATTATTTCCACACACTATTTGACACTCAAGAACACTGAAAGAACTATAGTGTAATTATAAATATTATACTAGTACTGCATCTGAGTTAAGATCCGACACTAGAGTAAAAAAATCCTTTTTAAAGCATGGCTCAAGAGAACATCATGCATCAGAACAAAACAAAATCCAGTTTTAGAACTCTTTTCTAGTTTTTAGTATTGTAAAAATACAGTAGCCAAAATCAAAACACTAAGCAAACCATACAGTAAATTAGCTAAGCAGTGAAAACAGGTGAATCTAAATGACGATGTTGCAAAACAGACATGTAGTGTGATTTACTGTTTAGTCTTCTAGGACTTTATAGAAGTTTCCAGAGAACAGTGCAGTTTAAGAGAACTTGATATGCAACAGTACTTAAGGAGGACATCCACTAAGTGCAAGTTTCTAACAAATGTGGTTTACCATATTTCTGCGGTGATGTGCCAAGGCTGCTTGCCAGTAGCAAACTCCTCTCAGTTCCTGTTCCTTTGGTTCCACAGCCATTACATATTGGGATAGAAACAGGTGCTGTCTGTGTACTTGGAGGAGGAATATTTGGCCAGATTTTAGCAGCATCAACTAGGCTGTTTCTGTTTGGCTGTTGGGACAATTTTTCAAAATACATGTTCATTTAGAATACAATATGAACACACACTATTCCAGGCTTGAAACACTCAATTTCCCATCTGCAATGAATGCAAGTTCAAATGTACTCTAGAAAGTTAATTAACAGCTGTACAAAATATTCCCCTAGATTGAAGTCCTTTCTAGTATACTTAGCTCTATATTCCCAAATAGAAAGAAGGATCCTTATTTAACTCTGCACATGAAGATATGCCATCTTCAGAAAGTCCTGACATATATTAAGAACACCTACCATGTGACATCAGCACATTTAAGAGTACAAGGCTGAATTCTCACCCTCCCACCAAAAATAGCATTTATGCTTCAAAACATACTGACTTCACCACTTAGTTTACTGAAAACATTTCTGTACTGGAAACTCATGCTTGGAAGTAATGCATCTTGCAAAGCCCAGTGTATTATTTCACTTCAATTTCCTATTAAAATTCAAGTTCTAAGGTGTACCAAGCCAGTACTGGAGTAAAATGTAGTACTGGAGTACAAATAACAAGTTTGGAAGATAGAACTAAGATTCAAACAAAACAAGAATACCATTGTAGCTTCAGACATTTCACCTGAGTTTCAAATGGACCTTTACTGATCATTTACTGATCAGTACACAAATGTACATGTTCAACATTACCTAGCCTTTTTTGAATCACTGCTACAGAACATTTTATTCGGAGCTGTCAAGGAGAGAACTGTCTTTAAAATCCTGTCAAAATCCTGTTTGAGTACATTAAAGACTCACTGTAAGCTAACCACTGGTAGTCTCTTGTCTTGCTGTTAAGCTGAACATTGCCTCAGAAGAAAGCACCTCTGAGGGATCTGCTACGTTTGGCCTACGCGTCACCAACTAGATGAATGCAGACTGAAACCAACAGAAGCTGGTGTTTTGCTCAAGTTAACACTTACTCATTCAACATTTACCATATAGCACACTTAATGAGCAAGAAACGCAATGCATACAAACCTGGTTCAAGCAGTCACTGCAGTAGTGAGAGCCCTTTAAACAAACTGAAGGTGCCACGTTTAGGTGCAAAGGGTTGGCACACACACGTGATGTTAGCTCCGACTGTGCAATATGCTCGTCCAAGTGGCCTGTAGCCCCACTTGTGAATTCAGAACAAGGAAAGTAGCCTGAAGATGTGCAGCTCTGAAGGGCTGGGAACTGATGGAGTTTGTGCATGTTACCATGACAGGACTGGAAATGAAGTTTTCCACAACAGGGCAGATGTTGACAGGAAGATACATTGTTTTCTATGCACATGGCAGGGAACTCACTGGCAATGCCTGCCAAATTGCTTCTAGCTGGAGGGTTCTTCAGTGAAGATGCAGGCTGGAAAGCAAATCCTGACCCTACTTGACAGGTAATCGTCCCAGTGCTTTTTGAGTCTAATATCGTGCCAGGGTGAATGACATTACCACCACCACCACCACAATGCATCTGTGGAGTACAAGGAGAGTCAGAGCCATGAGCACAGCAGCTTACTTTCGGGCCAGGTGAAAGCTGTATTTGCTGTTGCTGAAGAGGATGGACATCAGGAAGCGGTACTGCTGGAAACAGCTTAGAGCCAGCATTATGAGATGAAGCATCCTTCAATTCTACAGCAGCTTTCTTGTTCTCCATGTAATCTTTCTGGAAAATGAAGGCTACGTTACATTCAGAAACATTAATAAGCTAATAATTTTACACTATCATATGTATATTTTTAAACATGCAATTTAACAATACCATTTTGAAAAGTGTTATCTCTGCCTCACTGGCTAAGCATGAACAACTGGCATGTTTCCTTTAATACATGCCAGCCTGAGATACACTGGTACTAATGGGTTTCAGAAGCAACAAACCAATTAAAATATGTAGAAACGGAACTTGAAAAGGAAGAAAGTGTTAGGCTAAGTCTAAGAGATTCCCTTCAACTGCAAAGCAAAAAAAAAAAAAAAAAACAAACCCAAATGGGTGAAATATAAAGCAAGAAAAAGCCAGTGGGAAGATACGTAAGTAAACATCTTTTCCTTTGAATAAAGACTAAAGAACAGTATTAAAGATTTGAAAGTTATGCTTTAAAAGATTAAGACTTCAGAAAATTAGAAGTTATTTGAGAAAGGTAAGCTAAGAAGACAGAAGACTGAATTCTCACAATGACTATTTAAGTTCTTTTGCCTACCTCAAGATATCAAGAGGCACAGACAGAAAAGCAGCAGTGACAACCAAGCAGCAAGGTTATGAGAAGCACCAGAACACTGAGGTCAGTATAGCAAACCTGCACACAGCTCTGTTCCAAAGCTTCAGACCACTACTTCACTTTCCAAATTGAACTTAATGCATTGCCTACTACACACCAATGAATAATTGATTACCCAAGTTCAAAACCATTACTCTTTACCTGATGCCTTATCTTATGCAACAATGAGACACAGCCAAAAACCCATCTGGAACTGCCTTACACACTGAGCTCCAGAACTTACAGCAGCTCCCCTCCTAACTCCCTAGGCACAAAAAGACCAACCCAAGGTATATGCTCACAGCTTCCCTCGTATCTTTTAACCAGAAGATTGCACACAGATGAATGAAAACTAATTAACTGTTGGAGCTTGCTTGCTCAAGCAAGTCACTGTGTTCACCATTTCTTCTATTCCTTAGCATTCTACATCTTAAACATACACAGTCATACACAGCTACAGAACTGAAACATTAGAAGAAAACAAACAAGGAATAATTGGACCTTTATTAAGGGCATATCTACCATTACTGTAACTAATACATACTCAATTCAGAAAAGAAATTCTCTCCCAACTATTGAGAAAACCTGGAAGCATGGAGAATAGCTTCTTAATCTACTCTTCAGCAACAGCTTCAGAGCACTTTCAAAAAGCTGTCCTATACACTTTCTAAAGCAATCCGTTGAATTACTCCGAACACACAGGTGCAGAGCAGAGCCTGGCAAGCAAAACAGCATTCATACTGTCACTGATATTGATGAGAGCGCTCTCAACATAACTAGAGACCTTAAATTCCCAGGCAGACTTTGTACTTTGCACAGTAAGTGCTGTCTCCTCCCTCTCCCCTCAGCCAACAATAGCATTGCCGTTAGGTATACTGCTCTGTAACCAGGTACCAGCTAGACTTTTGGCAAAGCAAACAATTACCTACCGTTTTCTCACTGCAAGGCAAAGTCTTCTCGGCAGCAGAAAAACAATTAGAAAGTTTCCAGAGCCATGGTTTAACATCATTCTCTTGTCGCTGAAGCCATCCAAAAGATTTATTGCAGAGGTTCTCCGTCCTGTTTCCTTCCATCATACAGCCACACTAAATGGTTCAACATTCTTTCATCCCCCCTTCCTTTCATTCTTTCCACCTGCTAAATAAAAAAATGTATGCTTTAAAATAATTTTAAGGTAAGAAAGACAAAACCATGGTGGTCTTACAAATTCCTCTGCTACTAGATCACTAATCCTACATTATTTATGTCAAATTTAATTATGCAACAGACACAGCTTTGACTGGCTACATCAGCCTTCCTGTTTACTACAGAAATACTCCTTGTGCTCTGCAGTACAGGCAAGGCTGTCTGAAAAGACTGGCTATTTGTGCCCATGGCATTATCTACCGAGTCCCTGAAATCATTCCTAGAAATCTTCATTGCACTCTCCTAGAAAGAGGAGCTAGGGTCAGTTTTCGAGAAGAGCTTGTCAGTGAATACAAAATAGGCATAATTGAACCCAGCTGAAGAAACTGGCATGCATATTTTTTGTTTGTCAATGGGCTTACAAAACTACCTACACCTACATTAAGCACACAGCATTTAGTATTTACACAGTTTTAAAATCATTAGAATTATTTACAAACACTTATTCTAATCCTCAACCTGTTCCATGGCACACCACATCAATTTCCCTTTATGGAACCACAAACAACCAAAACCATTTGTTCAAGGCCCAGCCACACTCCACCAGAAAAATCAGGATTAGCAATGAAGCCTTCTCACCTTCCAGCTACATGCTGCATTGATTAAACTACACTCATGCAATTCTTTGCATTTACTGTTGAATACAACAGTCAGGGAATACATTCCATAACATTAAAGTCATCTCTAAGACCAAATTTGCCTCTAACGTTGTTTTTAAGCAGAAAAACAAGTTTGACATTTTTATAAAGTAGACGTGGTTATTCACACGAAGTGTAAGTTATGCTTCAAGTTATTTTGTACATTATGTTGCATAAAATATTAAGTCAAAAGACTCCACAAGCCTAGAGGAGGCTACTTCCAAAAACGCCTTGTGACACGCAGCCGAGCCGCTCTGTTTACAAAATAAAGCGACAACAAGGAAACAAAACCACCCCAAAACCCAGGCGTTATGTCAGCTTGCCATTCCCGCCCCCGGCCCGAACGCCCCGCGGGCAAACGGCCGCCGTCCCCTCAGCACCCCCAGGCCGCTGGGCGGCCCCACACGGAGCGGGGGCGGCTGCCGCCCGCCAGGGCCCCGTTCCCGTCCCCACCGGGCCGCGCCGTTCCGCCGAGGCCTCCCCACCGCCGCGGGCAGCCCCCAGCGCACGGGAGCGGCGAGGCCGTTCCTCCCCGTCCCCTTTTCCCTCGCCCAGCCTCACCTGAGCCGCCCCCGGCCCTCACATGGCGCCGCCGCCCGCCCCTTTGTTGGCCGCCCCCCTCCCCGCCGCCGCCGAGCGCCGGAAAGCAGCGCCCTGCCGCACAGCGCCACTGTCGTGACGCACCGCTCCCCCCCTCCTCTCCCGCCGGGCCGCGCTAGGCCGGGGCGGGCTTTAAACGGGGCGGGGCGGGCCCCAGGGGCTGCCCCTGACAGAATCCGGGAGTCATTAGGGTTGGAGAAGAGCTGCGAGATCGTCTGGTGCAACCATCACCCTACCACCGACGTCACCCACTAAACCATGTCCCCAAGCACCACGTCCAACCTTTCCTTAACACCCCCAGGGACGGTGACTCCACCACATCCCCGGGCAGCCCGTCCCAACGCCTGAGTGCTCTTCTGAGAGAAATGTCTCCTCATTTCCAACCTGAACTTCCCCTGGCGCAGCTTGAGGCCATTCCCTCTGGTCCTATCACTGATTACCCGTGAGAAGAGGCCGACCCCCAGCTCCCCACACCCTCCTTTCAGGCAGTTGCAGAGAGCAATGAGGTCTGCCCTGAGTCTCCTCTAGACCAACCCCCCCCAGCACCCTCAGCCGCTCCTCACAGGACTTGTGCTCCAGGCCCTTCACCAGCTTCGTAGCCCTTCTCTGGACTCGTTCCAGGGCCTCGATGTTCTTGTACCGAGGGGCCCTCAGCCCTGGGAAAGCCTCGCCCTGCTGGCAGCACGTGAGGAAGTACAAGAGTCAAGCTGCATGTTTAGAGATTACCATTTTTTAACACTTTGTGCCAAATTTTGGCGTTCACTTACAACTTTTTCGTGCACACGCAAAAAAAAATATTGATAGGCTGCAAAGGACAGATAGTTTTAGTTGATTAGAAAGTATAGTCCAAACCCTGCAGTCAGCAGTTAGGTGTCAATTTGTTTATTGTAACCCAAGTATCTGAAACTTCTGTACTGTCCTTCTTGGGGTCACTTTGGGCATCTTTAGCTGCATCTAAAGAAACTTCCCAAGCAGAATATATATGTTTTTAAAATGTAAAGCAAGTACTAGCTAACAAAACCAACAGCAAGCTGCTAACAAGCCACTAGATAGGCATTTGTGTGTTCCCCTCCCCCTGCTAAAACACCTGAAGTCTGCTGGCCACTCCTTGAGCTACCAGCAGTCTTTGTCTCAATAATCCTACTTTATTTGTAATTTAACTTTTCTTTTCTCTCCACAGACACAGCCCTATCTCACAGCGTAGCAGTTCCCTCACAACTTAGCATTCCCTCAGAAGGCCAGGACAAAGTCATGCTGCCGATCCATACCATCCAAGCTGGGCCTTGCTTCTTGGCATGCAGGTAGCTGAGCTTCTCAAGGTGGGGTAGGTAAAGAGCGGGGTGAAGGGCCTCTCTCTGGTGGCCCAGTATCTTTTAATCATAAGTGACATCATTGTATTTGGCTAGGTCATCATTTTCTCTTCACCTTTGCCTAATGGGCTGCAGTCACCACCAGGGTTAAGAATCTTAGGGACAATGCTTGTATCCAAATCCCATCTTGTCCCTGCTACCATCATTCACTCAGGATGTAATGCTGAGTGAATGCTGGTATCAAGGTCTTGAGTGGTGTTATATTTTGCTTTGCTGAGCAAGGCAGTGCTATTAATGAGCATTTGATAGCTTCAAGGTATCTAAAGGGTTTTAAAGCAGTGATATGCAAATCCAATTCTACAGACTGCAGAAAATTATGTAACATCTTTAAACGCAGGGAAATAGGTTTCACTGGTGTTAAGTGCTTACTCTGCTGTGACAAAACTATTTGAATTTGTATATGGAGTTCTAGTACCTATGTTTGTCATATCTTGTTATGAGTATCAGTAATCCTCGAAAACATAATTAATTTGTAATGACAGCTGGGGGTTAGTTCCTGCTCCATCCATAGAGCACATGGTTCTGTGGTCAATGACTTAATTCTTGCTGCAAAGCCAAGCTCTTTCCTCTGACTTTTACTAATGAATGTTCCAGCCAATAAGCTACTTCTTTTTGTATATATTCTGAACTGTATATAGTGATAAGCTACACTATTAGCTTAAGGTGCTGTAATTAGATCTGTGGTCTCCTATGTTCATTATCCATTTGATTTCCTTAGCCTCTCTTTTCCTTTTAACAACCAAGATTCATATTTATCATAATTAACCATTTTTTTAAGCAGCAGCTGCAGAACAGCTGCCAACATCACCACGATATCCTTTGTCGGTCTGTTGTGGTTTAACTATTTAGGTTGCCTTTTTAATGCTTGTGTTCTACTTTGGTAGCTATGGATGTCTAACATTATTTTTATGTTGTAGATGTTGGATTTAACATCACTGAATTTTATCAGTTAAAATTGTGTACAAGAGGGTTAAATTTTGGAAATATTAAACATCACTGATAAGCTTCAGTTGCTAGGCTATAGGGTCAGATAGGTGTCTTTGTCTTTAGCTGTAAGATGAGCAGGATATATCCTGAGAATGGCTTGTGTAAATAATTTTGTATTGTTTTAATTAACAGAACGTAAAGCAGTATTGAAAGGTTGAAATAAAGGTGAAACAAATATGGACAGTATTTCATTATTTTTATGTCAAATCACTTTTAAAAATGATATTTTTTCAAATGTATTTGCCAAAATAAGAAAACATCATGCTACTCTGACTTCCTTGCTCCAGATCGCTCACACCAAACTGCTCTGAAATACTGTTTTTTCCATAAGAAGCCTATTGCCAAAAGATAACATTATGCAATGTTGCCAGAACTTACAACGTGTACATTTTTGCTCAGTTTGCTCTCATGGAAGTCTCAGCGTAGCAGTCTCATCAAAATAACCAGCAACAAATCTAGCACTGCAAAAACTGCCTGTTATTAATTATTCATCAGCAGAATAAAAATAAATGCATAAAATCTTTTTTTTTTTTTCTTCTCTGCTAAACAGGCAAATGTTCTCATGCTTCTTGCAAACAAGACAGTGGATAGTAATTAGAGAAACATTTTTATTAATATTTATTGCACCTGTACAGCAGTGCCTCTGAGCCTTTGGCACCTGTCAAGCTGCTGTTACATTGTTTTGGAATTGGATGAGAGGCTAAACAGCTTCCTCTAAAATATCAGAGATTTTGCTGTACTTTACAAATGTATGAGATGAGAACTATTAAAAATGTTCAGGTACACTTTTGATATCATCTGTATACTCACTCATGCTATCCTCAAATAATTGTTCAAAGAATTGAACTGTCATTTGTCCCTAACTAGTGAACAATGTATACATTTTCAAATTACTAGGGATGTACTGTGATGGCATGTGGTTTATTTTCTGTAACTTGCCCACTTAAAACTTTATTGAGCAACAAAAGAACTGCAAATTGCTATTAACCAATTTTAAGCACATAATTTATTTTTCTGTTAATAAGTTTGTCACTATTTACTTCTGAACAAATGATCTCAAAATGCAGTTATTTTGCTGAATATCTGACATGAGAGCATGATTATTTCGCTCACCCTATTCAACTGAAGTTATCATAGCTATGGCTGGATTTCTCTTATAAGAATATTCTGATAGAAAAGCACAAATACTCTGTTACAGTCCTAGCCTTTTTCTGCAGAGTTGCTGGGAAAGGCTTACCTGCTTGCAGCCCACCCAGTTAAGTCTTTGTGGGGTCGGGCTCTGCTCCAGGCTGGGCGGTGCATCTCTGAAGTAAGCAGGATGGGCTCAGGGCCACAGTGCGTGGGTGCCTGTCATCCAGCAGTTTGTAAAACGTGCTGCACGTGTGTCAAGCGATACTCAGTGACATATGGGCAGATGTATGTGGGCCAGCGTATCTAGGCGCACGCGATAATTTGTGCTTTTGTTTTGACTCAGGAAGCAAATACCAGGCACGCCTCATGACCAAGTGTTTGTGCATGCTGTTGGGTAGGAAAGCACCTGGGGCATACCTCAGGCCCCTTCACAGTGACCCTGGGCAGCAAGGGCATGACAAACCATTTATCGGCTGCACCAAGGTTTAACTCAGCCCTATTGTTTGTGGGTGGCCCGAGGTTTAACTCGGCCTCATTGTTTGTGGGTGCCCAGTTCCCACTGTGGGTGCGAGGCTTGTGAGGGTGCTTTCTGGGATGGTGACGCCACAGCAAGGTGACAGGTGAGTGCAGGCAGCTACTGTTCAGTAGCACACTTTGTCCTCATCGTGGTGATTGCTCATCAGTCATAAAAGTCGTGCTGGCTGCAGCGACAGTTGGCCTTGTTAGTCAGCCGTACAAAGGGGTTCGGTGTAAAAACGTTGAGCTTGTGTTAGATGTTTATATAACCACCTCACTGCTGGCTCTTTCTGTGGAGTCTTTGGAACAATAATAATAATAATAATAAATAATTTTTAAAAGTACAACTTTCCCTTTTTTAGAGCATTTCAAGGGAAAACAGCTACGTGCTGCCACCACCCCGTCACCCCCGGCTGAGGGGCTGGGACTGAGGGGCCACGGCCCCGCCCCGTCCCTGTTTGAAAGTAACGAAAAGTTCCCGAACGCTCCGCGGGCCGCGCTCTGGCGCCGCCGATTGGCGGAGCCCTGCGGGGCACGTGATCTCCAGCCAATGGGAGCCCGGGAGCGAGGGGGGGCCGCGCTGAGGAGCGAGTGGCGTCCCCGGGGGAGCTCTGTGAGGCGGCGGTGAGGGGGTTCTGAGGCGGGGCGCTGCCTGCTCTCTGCCGCCTCTCACGCCCGGGGCTCCACGGCTGGGTTCGTATCGCTCGGGGTGTTCGGGGGAATGGGGAGCCCTACAACTGCCCTCAGAAATCCCGCAGCCGGGCCGCGGGGGAACGGCCCCCGCCGAGCCCGTGCCTGCGGTGAGCTGGGCTCTGGGGGCCTCTGCCCTCGGTTTGCTGTTGTGCTGCTTCAGCAGAGGGAGGGCGGCGCGCTGTGAGGAGAGCCTTGCCGGGTGTTTTAAGGAGACTTGTTTTTTCGTGCGAGGGGAAAGCTGCTTCTTGGGAGCATCGAGCTTTTTTTATTTGTTCTTGCAGTTGGCAGAAGTGGCAAAGAAGAGCTTTGTCCCTGCCACGGATAACTCAGCATCGCTAATGGTAGTCTTTCACCTTTACCTAGTCTCTTTCCTATCTTCTCTTTTCTATTTTTTGTTC